CCTCCCCACCCATCCACTTTGTGAGACTTCGCCTCAGCTGTCACACGCAGTGCTTCATCCTCGCGGCAGGCGCCGTCCCGAGCTGCAGGCGCACTGCCTCTAGGGCGCCTTACGTTCAGCAGCGCGCAGCATCCATCCGTCAGCAAAACCCGTTTGAGAGCTGCCTGCTTACGACACTGAAACAAAGGCACTTCGTCATACAGGGTTAAGTTTCCTAGGCAAGATGGACAAAGGTAAGAAAGGAGAAACAACGATGGGAATTCATCTCATCAAACCCTTCTGAACAGACGCTTTCCCCCCGCATTTGCAGGGAATGGATTCCCATGCAAGCCTACAGTCAGACAGAAGCACAGTCTGTCACACAGAGAAAACTCCAGAGCTCCCAGACAAAACACCCAGGCTCAACAAGGGCCAGACCCAACAAGGGGAAGGCTTCCTGAAGGGACAGAAGCCAAACTCTGAGGCAAGGGGAGGGAAAAACCCAAAACAACCACCCCCCCAATCCGCATGAAGACACGCTACTTTATCTGCCCTCCCCCACCACTCATGTTCCAACTGAACTGGTACTGCAACTGAAGCTGAGGTATTTACCTACCCCCCCTCCCCTGTCATTCAAGTTTTCTTTCCTTACTTGGAAAAAAATTGCATGGAAAAAAAACAGTGGAGGGGACCACCAAGTGCATTACCATTGTATCATACACTCTGCTGCGCAGAAGGATGTTTTGGATTAATGCACACTGGTCTGTACAAGCATCACCCAAAAAATGGTAAAAGGAACCAAAAATACTCAGTTTCACAAAAAAAAGTTGCTCCTAACTGCACATACAACTTCACTGTGAAGGCACATAGCCACACTGCGGCACCCTTCTCCTCTAGCAAAGCCAAGCTTCTTCCCCCCTGAGAACCCCTCGCAGCACGAGGCGCCCGGGCAGGTGCCTCCTCCCACGGCACGGGCGGGAGGGCTGGCAGCCGCGCTGCGGCGCCGGCGGGACCGGCCTCACCCCTTTCCCTGAGAAGCAGCCAGCCCTCGCCAGCAGTCCTCTGGCCCACGAGTAACACACTGATTTAATTTTCTTATTAGAAAATACATTTCCAAATAAATTATATTTTAGCATAAATTTCTGTGTGTCAGAACGGGTGTAATATCACCCTGCCTTTCTCCAGGATAGAGACTTGTTTCATTTTTGGCTTCTCAGACTTTGTGATCAGAAAGCGTAGATTTCCAGTCAAATTGCAAGTGTCAAAAAACAGAAGTGCTGCGTAATTTGTCCGGGAATGTATACAGAAAATGCATTTTAATCCACATCTAGGCCATGGATAGTGACGTTTTCTCAGTGCTGAGTCCATTTAATGCTTTTGAGGTCAATTCCATCCTGCACCATTTCCCAGAGGGGGCTGTAATAATAGGAGAAAAATGAGGGCTATCTGAAATGCACAGGACAACATCAACAGCAACCACCAAACAGACAATTTAATCAACGACACAAGAAATTAGGAGATACCCATCTATCCACCTTCCCCTTCGAGCTTCAGACAACCAGTCCTCAACTCTATGTGCAGCCCAAAATACAAGAGCTGAGAGGGCAAGCGCTCCCCCTCGGTTCCTGCTCCCACTTTCGGCACAAAGTGCTCGCGTCTCTTCGAGACTGAGCCCTCGTGTTTGGCACTGTTCACATGAGTCAGCAGTCTTCCCGTATCACCAAAATAGAACAACTTCTCATTGCATACACTCAGTGGTGCCATCTCTGGCTTGGGAACTTCCAGGTACTGCCCTATGCGCTTGCCCCACTTGCACTCTTTCTCTGACAAAGGCAGGATCTGGGAGAAGGTTGGTTATCAGGTTTTTTTCCTTAAAAATATGTCACCACTCTTAAGATCAGGCCCACTACCCACTCTGGCAATCACGCCTGCTTATAGACAGAGACACCACCAGATTTTTGAAGCAAACAAACAATTACTTTCAACTAAATCCAACTCTTCAGATGATTACCATACGCAAGAGGTCTTACGTTCAACAGATGGCTCACCTCATTTCCCTCAGCCTCTTAACATGCTGTATGCACTTCTGCACTGTGTAATCTACTTCTTCCTCCGTAGTGAAACGACCAATGCCAAATCTGAAACAAAAGAGGACCACTAAGGACTAGAATAACATGCATATGGAGGGGTGGAACAAATCCACCACCTGCTTTTAGCAGGAAAGAAAAATATTTGGAAGCATTAGGGAAGACCAGTCCACGCACCTTATAGACGAATGAGCCAAGTCTTCATCTGCTCCGATTGCCCGCAAAACATAGGAAGGCTCCAGAGAAGCTGACGTGCAAGCACTGGGGAAAGGGAAGGCAGACAAACTTCAAAGTTTTGCTCATGTGCAGACGCCATGCTGAAGTAACACTGCTAATCTCCTCCAATGAAGAACAGGCCACTTACAGACATGGAATGTTACTACGACTCTTTACAACAACCTCTACCAGCTTCCCTAGCCTCTCAGAAACCACCAGCGAATACAGGCAAGAGTGGTATTTCTGCTGCTGCAGAAAAAGACTGGAAGGGGCAGGCATGAGAAGGGAATGTGGGTTATAAATTAGGAGCATGAGGTAAGAAGAGAGAACACAGATAATACAGCAAGAATAAACACAGTGCCAAACAAAAGCA